ACTCGGTTTACAGGTTAACCAAATCTCTGTACGGTTTAAAGCAGGCGCCCAATGTTGGTACAAGAGATTTGATTCCTTCATCATGAGCCTTGGATACAACAGACTGAGTTTAGATCATTGTACGTATTACAAAAGGTTAGATAATGATGATTTCATTATTTTGTTGTTGTATGTGGATGATATGTTTATGGTAGGCCCCAATAAAGATCGAATTCAAGAATTGAAGGCACAATTGACTAGGGAGTTTGATATGAAGGATTTGGGACCCGCAAATAAGATTTTACGGATGCAAATTCACCAAGACAAAATATAGGAAGATTTGGCTCTCTTAGAAGAATTATCTTCGGAAAGTCTTGAGGCGCTTCAACATGCAAGACTGTAAGCCAATCTCTACCCCACTTCTTATCGATTTCCAGTTATCCTCAAGTATGTGTCCTAGTAGTGAAGCAGAGAGGAAGGAGATGTCTCGAGTACCGTATACATCGGTAGTGAGAAGTCTTATGTATGTTATGATTTGTACTAGACCAGACATTGCTCAAGAAGTTGAGACAATCATTCGGTTCATGACAGATCCAGGTAGAGAGTATTGGAATGTTATGAAGAGGATCCTGAGATATGTTAAAGGGACCTCAAATGTTGCATTATGTTTTGGAGGACCAGAGTTTGTTGTCAAAGGATACGTTGATTCGGACTATGCAGGTGATCTTGACAAAATAAAATCTACTATCGACTATGTGTTTACACTAGTAGGAGGAGTGGTGAGTTGGTTATCTAAGCTACAGATTGTCGTAGCTTTATCTACCACAGAAGCAGAATATATGGCAGCTACCCAAGCATGCAAGGAAGCTATCTGGATTCAAAGGTTATCGGAAGAACTCGGGCACAAGCAGTAGAAGATTATTGTGTATCGTGACAATCAGAGTGCCTTGCATATTGCAAGAAATCCAGCCTTTCATTCCAGGACTAAACACATAGGAGTACAATATTATTTTGTTCGAGAAGTAGTAGAGGAAGGGAGCGTGGATATGCAAAAGATTCACACTAAAGATAACTTAACAGATGTTATGACAAAACTGATCAACGCTGAGAAGTTTATTTGGTGCAGAAACTCTTATGGCCTATAAAAAACGTAGCAACATTGGAATTGACATAGTGGAGAAATTTTGAAAGCAAATAAATGTGGCTTTAAATGGGAAATTGTCAGGAAGTAAAGTCATATTTAATTTATTATGTAAAGTCAATTATACGTAGTAGAGAGAAAGTTTCAAATTTATAGATATCATCAATCTATTGATGGTTAGAAGAAAATTAAGTGCTATTCATAACACAACAATTAATATAAATAGTTGCTACATTGTAATTTTTTTTAATCGTCTCACACTACAACATTTGTTGTCTTTGGCAACACTTTTTTAGGTAACATGTAGAAATTGTTGCCTTAAATTCATATAGGCAACGATTTACGATTGTTGTCAAAAATATGTTTGCAACCCTTGATAATCGTCGCCTAAAATACTTTTGGGGACGTTTATGGAGCGATACTCTTTTATTTTTTTGCCAACGGTTATTAATTGTGCCCTTAACTGCTTTTGGGGACAATTTTAGAGCGTTAAAATATTATTTCTTTAGCAATGTTTGACAATTGTCCCCTAAAATATTTTTGGGGACATTTTTAAATTGTTACATTAGTTCTAATAAAAGGCTACATTTCTGAAATGTTGTATAAATTTTTTTAGAATTATCAAATTTTTGGTGGCAATCTTCCCTCCAAAACTTATACACTAAAAAACAAATATTTTTCTCTAAACATTATTAATATATATAAAAAAAAATATTTTTCTAACACAAGAATTTAAAAATAAAAAATTTCAATTAAACAGAAAATAAAAAATTATATATATATATATATATATATATATATATATATATATATATATATATATATATATATATATATATATATATATATATATATATATATATATATATATATATATATATATATATATATTAGTCTAAAAAGAAAATAAAAAAAAGAATAGAAAATAAAAAAAAGAAAAAGAAACTGCTTAGGAGACCAAACCCGATCCTTAGATTTCACAAGCATTTCATAATGTTTTTTCAACTCAGGAGTACTACAAAGGAAACTGCTTTTACTACTAAGGCAATCATCATTCCCTGATCTATCTCCATCAACAAGCCTCATCATGAACTATCAAGCTAATGAGGTATTTTCCTGATGAGAATGGTTTCTATTAGTTTCTTGACAATAATGGAAGGTATGTGTATGAGGATAGAATCATAGGCGAAGCCAGCGCCCGGCGAGGTCGGGCAACTGCCCAGGCTCTCCAGTTAAGAGTTTTGTTACCGATTCTGAAACTCTTCACTCTCCACTATTCACTCACTCTTCTCTTTCTCTTCTGGGAACTCCTACTATTTCCTCGCCGATTCCGCGTTCTGAATTTGGTGAATTAGTTTTACCTCAATGTTAGGAGTGGTAACCTAATGGCTTTCGATTCTCATACGCCTTTCCCTCCCAACAATCCATATTCCTTCCTTCTTCTTATTCTTATTTTGATTTTCAATTTTTAATCCATGATGTATGTCACGTTATTATCTATAACTCCAATTAATTTATTAGGGTTGAACTGATGAACGAGTGTTTACAGTAAACTACTGAGTTAGTTCAAGCTATTGTTGATGCTCTCTTTACTTTGTCGTCACTCAAGATATAGATGGATCAATTGTTAAATTGCCTCCACCAACTACAAAATTGCCCAGAGAAAAACATGTATTAAGCCTTCTCTCTACCGTTTTGCAACTTGCACACTAAGTGTTCAATAAATTGCCTCAACCAAGCTTCTTTTCCTTTTTCACTTCTATTTCTTACGAATTATGGTACTGAATTGTTGTTACTGATTGATTTACTTGTTGAACTTGTGAAGGAAGGAAGGAAGTATTGAAGCAAGCTCTTTTATTCTGGAGTTATATCCTCCGTGTGATAGCGTAATGAATGTTTGTTGAAATCAAGCAAAGGTGAAATTGACATTCCTGATACAACTCTCTGAAATCAACAATAAGATTCAAGTCTACACAAGTCCACTCCCTATTAGAATAAATGTGTGTTAGTACATAACTTTATTCTCACTTGGTTCTGATTTACAATTTTATTTAGATAATAAGAAATTAAGATTTGTTTTTTTTGTGTTAGTGTATTTTTAACTTCATGTTCATTTGATAACTTGCTTTATTTGTTGTCAATCATTATGGATAGATTGAAGAATATGACATTGAAAGTTTTGAAATGGCATGTTGTGAATGACTTGATTTTTTCTTTTTTTGATTGCAGAACTTACTTTAGACCCTCTTAGCATTCTGTTTGAAAGATTCAAGCTATAGACTTTTGTTAAGGTTTGGATTTAAACTATCTCTTGTGAACTTCAAGTAGCTTAAACAAATACTTAAAGTAGCTTAAACAAATTACATCGTGGAAAATATTTCGGTTTTAGTAAAACACCTCGCTCAAAATAGTATCATGAAGAGACATACTCATGAGAGGGTTGAACCTCAAAATTTCCACCTTAGACTTAAACTCATTAAAAATGGTTACCTATATTATTAACCAAGGTGTGTACAGTTCTAAACTAAGCATGCTTATACTGCTATTAATTGGTGAAAAATTTGTAAATTATTTTCTTGTGATAAGGATGACGTTATTTAAGTTTGTGACATTTAGATACACAGTGTTTTCATTTAACATGTTATAGTTCCGCCAATTAAATTAGTATGGAGGTTTCATCAATTAAATTAGTATGGAGACTCCTAATTCTAAATTTGAAATAGATTGGGGTGACTGCAACATAATTTTCTTCTAAACCATAATTATGATCAAAATCATCAAGTGTAAACTTAATAACTCTATCATGAAATTTGCATTCAATACTTCTGCTAAACACCTTAAGATTTTAGCAAATTTCATGATAGAGTTATTAAGTTTACACTTGATGATTTTGATCAATATTTTATCTCAGACCATATCCAAGGCCTATGTTGCCTGCTCAAGAAATTACCTAATATTTTAAAAAATCGATAAAAATGCATAAAAAAAACTTGAGTTTTCTATCGAACATTTGTAAAAATCAGGTAAAATACATATGTTTAAAGAAAAATCTAATAAAAATGTTAAATCGCCAATAAAAATGCATACTTACATTGAAAAATCTAGTAGTTTGCTCAAAAATTCCTTTAAGTCCTAGTGGTTTTTGAAAAATTCAAGTGAAATGTATTTTTATTTGACAAGGTTAATATGGCAAAATCACAATATTTATGGGGTGCTAAGTTTAAGTGTGAGGGTGACAGATAAAAATTCATAAATATAGTTGAATTTTTGGGATTAGTTGTAAAATATTTGTAAGCAATTGTGTTTTGGTAAAGTAGTCTAGTGTCTAGAATTCACCATTTAAAGGCAAATAAATATAATATTATAGGTTCAAATTTGTGTTCATATATTTAATATTTTTGTACAACTATCAATTAAACTGGTTTAATAAAACATATATGTAACAGTAAGTAATTTAATCATTAAAAAATAGTTATTTTGTAAACTTGTTAAGGTGATTTCTTATAAAAGAAAATTTTAAAAAAAAAATGCTACTACAAGGAGTTAATTTATTAAGGTGATTGCCTATCCAAAAAAAAAAATTACTAAGGTGATTGATTAGCTTCTACCAATCGTTGAATAAAAATATCAGGTTAGGCTTAAATATATGCTTTTTATGACTGATATCAATCACTTTCCTGCTTATGCTAAAATGTTTGACCATGAAATTGTTTTGCAGGATTTTGCATAAAAAGTTGAAGGGGATGATGAGTGTAAGTAACACCTGAACTTATCACTTGGTTTCATGGCTGCACCAAAGTAGTAAGTATACCTGAGAACCAATTTTCTAAGAAGAAAACAGATTCTTGTATTTCTTCCAAGAGCTTTTCCAATTCTTCTCATGCCAATAACTCTTCCTAGACTCAAATGCATTTCACTCTTAAATTCTCTTCCCAAACAAACCTTAACAAACAACAACATTAAACAAATCCACGCCCAACTAATCATCAACAACCTCAATTCCCCCAAACTCCTGTCCGAATTAATCAACCATTACTCTTCCACTTCACCAAACCTTAACTTTCTCAATTCCATCTTTTACTACTTTCACACCCCACTTTTATTCCTCTTCAACACTCTCATTAAATGCACCCCCCTTAACCACTCTATTCACTTTTTCAAAACCAATTTCTCTAAACAACTCATTCATTTTGATCACCACTCTTTCAATTTCATCCTTGGAGCTTGTGCTCGTTCCCCTTCATATCCAACGTTAAAATTAGGAACAGAGCTACACTCAATAATCATAAAACAAGGTTTTGGTTCCAATGTTTTAGTTCCAACTACATTGATTCATTTTTATGCTAACAATAGAGATGTTAAGTCTGCACGTAAAGTGTTTGATGAAATGTCTGAGAGAACTGTTGTCACGTGGAATGCTATGATTGCTGGTTATTGTTCGGTAAAAGATGAAAATGGAAAAAACGCTGTGGATGGGTTGTGTTTGTTTAAGGAAATGTTGATGGTTGGTGTGAGTGAAGTTAAACCGAATGATACTACTTTGGTTTGCTTGCTTTCCGCGGCTTCTCAGTTAGGTATGATGGAAATTGGTGTTTGCATACACGGGTTTGCGGTGAAGATGTTGTGTAAGGTTGAAGATGATGTGTTTATAGGGACCGGACTGGTTGATATGTATTCAAAATGCGGGTGTCTTGAGAGTGCTTTGTATGTTTTCTGGCGGATGAAATTGAGGAATGTTTTGACTTGGACTGCGATGACTACTGGGCTAGCTATTCATGGGAGAGGGAAAGAGGCATTGGAGATTTTGTATAAGATGGGAGGTGATGGCGTGAGGCCGAATGAAACGACTTTTACGAGTTTGTTGTCAGCTTGTTGTCACGTAGGGCTTGTTGAAGAAGGGCTTCGGTTGTTTCGTGATATGGAACGAAAATTTGGTGTGGTGCCTCAGATACAACATTATGGTTGTGTTGTTGATCTTCTTGGACGAAACGGAAACTTGAACGAGGCTTATGATTTTATCATGGCAATGCCGATTAGTCCGGACGCTCTGATTTGGAGGAGCTTGCTCAGTGCTTGTAAGATTCATGGGGATGTTGTGATGGGAGAGAAAGTGGGGAGGTTTCTTCTAAAGTTTAAAGAGAAGAGTTATGAAGAGTTGGCTCATAAAAGTGAAGATTTTGTTGCTTTGTCAAATGTCTATGCTTCAGCAGAAAGATGGAATGATGTTGAAGTTGTAAGGGAGAAAATGAAGACTAAGGGTGTTTTTAATAAGTCTGGTATTAGCTCAGTTCAAACTTTAAGCACTTCATAAACACTGAGGGTACTCCCAGTTGCATTTTATACACTTCATTTTTTGAACTTTTACAGCTATAAACATCCGAGACTACCACAATAATTAGATAAGCAAGTGTATTTTTATTGTTTTGTTTGCAATGACCTGTTTTCATACTAACAGTTTGTGATGTGTCCTATAATTTTTAAATGGACATATTCTTGTTTCGAATTGTACTCCTGTCACGTGTAATATTTGTGCATTTTATGCTAAGAACCCCAAACACACCTGCTAGTTATTTTAATATTCTGACCATAGATTACTTTCTTTAGCATCTGATCAAACGAAGAAGACTATAATATTCTTTGACAACAACTCCTTAATCAAATTGTCGAAAAATCCAACTATGCATGGAATGCAAACACATAGATGTTAGATACCTCTTTCTTAGAGATAGTACAAGAGAAGGAGTGGTTGATTTGAGTTAGTGCATTGCAACTCACAAGATCTACTTTCAAGAATCATGACCAATCCTTTGAAACTCAAGTTATTTTGCAAGTTAAGGGAGAAACTTGACATATGTGATTTGTAAAGTTTAGATTGATTTTCTTGATTGTTGTAATAAACTGAATTACTAAGTGTGTTTTGTTAACATGTTCAGTTTTAGGGAAAATCTATTAGGATTAAAGTAGTTAGTTAGTTAGATAGTTGTCCATGAAATAACTACTATGTTATCAATGTCACTTATGTAAAAAGGGAAGGGGCCACTAAATTTTCTTATTTAATTAAGAGCATTTTCATTTGCAGTCCTTTGCAGATATGTGGGTTGATTTTCTTCTCAAGGAAACCGAAGAAAGAGAGAAGAGAGAAACATCTGGAAATACAGGTACAACCACTGAAAATTCACATGATAAAAGTTCAAACACTATTTCCGCTATTCCCCCTCGTCCGAATCCGAGGTTTGCATCTGTTCCCCCACTTTCCAATCCGAGGTTTGCATCTGCTTTTCCAATAATTTCAACTAATCAAAACATCAGTCTTCTCCCTCCTAACTATTTTCAGCGTCCTGAAAATTTTGGTTCCGAGTTCTCAACAGTTCCCCTTACACCATCTATTGCCAAAAGTACTGGTTCAAACCAGCTTCCAATACTGAATATAGACACTGAATCCTGCACATAATCTAAGGTATATATGTTTTTTTTTTTGTTAAAATTATAGGCATATGATGTTGTTCCAGTATCTCTTTATCATTCATGATGAGGGTTCTTTTGTTAAAATTTGCTCCATTGGTTTCGTTATCTCGTCATTCTCGTGTGCAAGTTTTGTAAAAGAACTATCCTGTTGTAGATTGTAGATGTTCTAATAATATCATTTTATCTCTTCAATTTATGTTATACTAAACCAGTTTACGGATATAATGCATATTTATTTTGACAAAATCTTTCATGTGCATATACAACATTAGTCTAACCTTATGGTACTGAATTGAGCAAATGTATTGTTATCATAATATTCGTCCAATTTAGTATCAATTGGATGTGGATAGAAAAGATCCTAGAAAGTTGTGGGTCGAGGTGGTTATTATAGACCAAAGGAAAAGAGAGTGGAATGATTCGGTTGGTTCACTCATCGAGTTGTGTTGAGTTGGCTTACTTTTTGGTGAGTTAGAGAAAATGTACAACATAGTTTGTGCATTGCACGAGTTTATTTTTCTTATAGGATGAGTAAGTTTCATCATATCTCATTTTTCTCAATATTGAAATTTATTAATTATTCAATAGTAAAAAGGATTAAATGTATATTTAGTCCCCCTAGTTTGAACTTTAAATAATTGATCTCTCTATTATAAAATCAACGAATTTGATTCCTTAATTTTAATGGTCTTTAGATTTTAGTGGCCCCTTCCCTTTTTACATAAGTGACATTGATAACATAGTAGTTATTTCATGGAAACTATCTAACTAACTAACTACTTTAATCCTAATAGATTTTCCCTAAAACTGAACATGTTAACAAAACACACTTAGTAATTCAGTTTATTACAACAATCAAGAAAATCAATCTAAACTTTACAAATCACATATGTCAAGTTTCTCCCTTAACTTGCAAAATAACTCGAGTTTCAAAGGATTGGTCATGATTCTTGAAAGTAGATCTTGTGAGTTGCAATGCACTAACTCAAATCAGCCACTCCTTCTCTTGTACTATCTCTAAGAAAGATGTATCTAACATCTATGTGTTTGCATTCCATGCATAGTTGGATTTTTCGACAATTTGATTAAGGAGTTGTTGTCAAAGAATATTATAGTCTTCTTCGTTTGATCAGATGCTAAAGAAAGTAATCTATGGTCAGAATATTAAAATAACTAGCAGGTGTGTTTGGGGTTCTTAGCATAAAATGCACAAATATTACACGTGACAGGAGTACAATTCGAAACAAGAATATGTCCATTTAAAAATTATAGGACACATCACAAACTGTTAGTATGAAAACAGGTCATTGCAAACAAAACAATAAAAATACACTTGCTTATCTAATTATTGTGGTAGTCTCGGATGTTTATAGCTGTAAAAGTTCAAAAAATGAAGTGTATAAAATGCAACTGGGAGTATCCTCAGTGTTTATGAAGTGCTCAAAGTTTGAACTGAGCTAATACCAGACTTATTAAAAACACCCTTAGTCTTCATTTTCTCCCTTACAACTTCAACATCATTCCATCTTTCTGCTGAAGCATAGACATTTGACAAAGCAACAAAATCTTCACTTTTATGAGCCAACTCTTCATAACTCTTCTCTTTAAACTTTAGAAGAAACCTCCCCACTTTCTCTCCCATCACAACATCCCCATGAATCTTACAAGCACTGAGCAAGCTCCTCCAAATCAGAGCGTCCGGACTAATCGGCATTGCCATGATAAAATCATAAGCCTCGTTCAAGTTTCCGTTTCGTCCAAGAAGATTAACAACACAACCATAATGTTGTATCTGAGGCACCACACCAAATTTCCGTTCCATATCACGAAACAACCGAAGCCATTCTTCAACAAGCCCTACGTGACAACAAGCTGACAACAAACTCGTAAAAGTCGTTTCATTCGGCCTCACGCCATCACCTCCCATCTTATACAAAATCTCCAATGCCTCTTTCCCTCTCCCATGAATAGCTAGCCCAATAGTCATCGCAGTCCAAGTCAAAACATTCCTCAATTTCATCCGCCAGAAAACATACAAAGCACTCTCAAGACACCCGCATTTTGAATACATATCAACCAGTCCGGTCCCTATAAACACATCATCTTCAACCTTACACAACATCTTCACCGCAAACTCGTGTATGCAAACACCAATTTCCATCATACCTAACTGAGAAGCCGCAGAAAGCAAGCAAACCAAAGTAGTATCATTCGGTTTAACTTCACTCACACCAACCATCAACATTTCCTTAAACAAACACAACCCATCCACAGCGTTTTTTCCATTTTCATCTTTTACCGAACAATAACCAGCAATCATAGCATTCCACGTGACAACAGTTCTCTCAGACATTTCATCAAACACTTTACGTGCAGACTTAACATCTCTATTGTTAGCATAAAAATGAATCAATGTAGTTGGAACTAAAACATTGGAACCAAAACCTTGTTTTATGATTATTGAGTGTAGCCATGTTCCTAATTTTAACGTTGGATATGAAGGGTGTGATACGGTGGGAGAACTGACTTGGGTTTTGCGTTTGTTTTCGCAAATGTTTCGGTTGAGTAAGAGTCACCAGCGACTTTTTATTTTATCCTAAGGAAAGGTTAAAAAGCACAGCAAAAATCTTTGAGATGTTTTCTTGGGTTCGGGGAGTAGATTATAGAAATGGAAGGTATTAGCACCCTTTCTATCCATGGTTATCCATGGGCTCTTAGTTACTTGCTTAGATCAATTTGCCTTGATTTTCAATTGTTTGAAATAGTGCTTTGTGTGTGTTTGAAAAATGTTTTTGAAAAGATGCCGATGTGGTGGCAACCTTTGTAATGATCCATGTTGGGATATATACAAAAGTGTATGTCTTTTTGAAAAGTTTTCAATGTTTTTTGAAAGTTATTTTGAAAATGTGTTGTGATGTGTGTTTTGAAAAATAGGCAAGGGTTTTTGTTTTGCAAGTTGACAAGTAACCAAAAGCTATCTACCATAAATTTCTCAAAGATCTTTGCTATGTTTTAACCCTTTTAACAATTTTGTTCCACCATTGTATTTGGTGGACAATCTTGTGTTAGGATGTTAACGGGACGGACGCGGGTCATCGTTTAGCCCATGATTGCAATGGTGCCAAGTATCTTTGGGCAAGTTTTTCCTTTAAGGGACTTGATCATTTTTAGGCAACTTTCGAAAGCGTCATCGAGGGACTATGATCATTTGATTGTTTTGTTTTTGCCAAAGATACCTAACATGCAATATGGCCCATTTTTGAAGGCAACAAGTGGAATACCCTAGGGGTGCAAGTGTGATTAGTGTTGTCCATTTTCATGCTTGTTTATCTTGAATTTAGGTCAAACTATTTTTGGTTAATTTTGCATACAAAACTCTAATTCTAACATGGCATAATTAGAAAGCTTTTAAATGCGAAAAATAAAAGGTCATAAGTTATTACAACACAATATATGGGATGGGGGGTACAAATGTTCAAATGGGGATATTTTAGCAAGAAATTAAAATCTAACTATTACATCCAAATTGAATTACACAAATTATTTAATTGCATAATAATAAAATAAGATAAAATGAATATGCAAAATGCAAAAATGGTTTTCATATGTATGTAAAAAAGGTATTTTTCATGTGTTAAATAAACAAAAATAAAATGAATTAATTTTTGATATTTTTATGTATTTAGGGTAAAACCCTAATTTTATAAATAAAAGGTATTTATTATATAATATATGCCATATTTATTAATTATGTACAAAAAATAAATAAAAAGAAAGTGTATTATCAAAAAGTGGTTTTTTAAGTTAAACATTAATAAAAATGAAATGTATTATTTTTTATGTTTTTTAATCTAAATAGACTAATAAATATATAAGTATCTATATTATTTTTTAAATATATTAAATATATACAAAAATAAAATATTTAATATTTACAAAAAAAGTATATTTTATATAAAAATGTTTTCAAAAGGTAAAATAAAATAAAAAATCAGAAAATAAAAGTATTTGTATTATTTTTAGTTATTTTAAATAAAAGTATATTTATGTTTATTTATGTACAAAATCTTAATTAAAAGTTTTAAGACAAAAAGATCCATTAACTTAATTAAATTCAAGTATTTATGTATTTTTTAAATGTGATAAATAATAATAAAAGGAAAATAAAAAGGAAAAATTTGCATGAGAAAAATAAGGTATTATTTTATATACAAAATGAATTAACTTATGTTAGTGAAAAATATTAATTTGAGTACTATAAAAAATAAATAGAAAGAGGGTTTAAGGGATTAGATGGGCTTTAGGAATCTAAGCTGGCCCAACGAATAAATGAAGGAAAAATAAGAGGGGGGTGTATGCGCAAGATTTTATCTGGGCTTAGGCATTTTGAACGGGTTGTGGCCCAAGGCTTGAGACAAATTGTTTTAGGGTTGCAAGGCTTTGTAACATTTGGGACTAGGGTTTCACAGTGAGAACAGAGGCGCGCCGTTTTGGTTTCATCTTCGTCTTCTCCGGCCAGCTTCTGAATAAACTTCCCCTTGCCTAGCCACCAGCTGCTTCCTTCGTCCTCTTCCCTTCTCTTCCCTTCATGGTCGCTCAGCGACGTTTGCAAGGTTTGATCTCTAACGCGTTAGGGTTTTTACTAATTCCTCTTTTGCATGCTTAGTTCGAGTTCTGATTTTGTTTCTGATTTTATGTGGTTATTATTGTTTGTTATTGAGATTGTGGAAAGAAGAAAAAAGGAGAAATACTACCTTGACGGAGGAAGAGGCGGACGTGGAGGCGCTCCGGAGGCCAAGGCGAGGGGATGGTGATGATGAGCGTTTGAGCTAGCTTAGAACCCTGGTATTTCGTATTTTTCCTTTTTTGTGTTGGTTCAGTGATGATGTTCTGAGGACTTAGTTTGACTTCCTTTCTTCTTCTTGCTTGCTTGCCCTTTTGCTTCTGTTGCTATATGTTTGACCTCTGAATGCCTTTTTTATCTTCTTCTTCTTGTTGCCTTGATGCCTTTTTGTGATGAGGTTTCCTCTGAGGGCCTCTTTACCTCGTGTGCTTGCTTGATATGTTGCCTTGAAATGCTGAATATGGTTGTTTTGGATGATGTTGGTGTTGGCCCAGTGATGAAAGTTTTCTGAGGGCCCTGTGGCTTGGTTATGATATTTGGATTTTTAGGCTTGACAGTTCAGATTTTGGCTTCAGTTTCAGTCTTGGCCTCTGCATATTGGGTTTGAAATGTTTGTTGATAATGAAGGCAGGTTAGGCTCAATACTTGAACTTCTGGTCCTTTGTTTAAGGCTCAAACAGGTTATGGCTATTGTTGGATAGTTTAGGCTTCTGGTTCGTGGCTTGACAGACAGCTTTGAGTGTTTTTGGTTTTACTGGCTTTAGGTTATTACAGGTTTGGTTTGTAATGAGCTTACAAGCTTGTATGGCTAAAGGGTTTGAGCAGGTTGAGAGCTTCTTCTGGTTTTGAAGCTTGGCTTCAGTTTGGTGCAGGTAAAAAGCTTATGGCTTTGAGGCTCACACTGCTGTTTGTATATTTTTTGTGTTATGCAGGTTAAGGCCCTTTTTGAATTATTTGAAGGTTGAGCTTGAGGCTAAGAGCTTTAGGTTTGCTTCCGTTTTTCTGTTACAATATGAGGCAGGACTGTTTTTGCTTTTGACTTCCTTGCTTTTTGTGATATCTCTGCCTCTTATCCACTGTGTTATTAACAGTCTTTATTTTTTATCTCTTTTCTTGCCTAAAGCCTGAGCCCTGTAAACCTCCTTCTTTTACTCTCTCTCTCTCCTCTCTCTTGACTTTAAGCATATTATATTGCTTAGATGTACTTATCCTGAAAAGGCACTGGCTTAGAAAATGATGAAATGGACCTTGCTTGCTTGCATATGTAGTTTAGCTATGCATACTTTATGTACTGCTTCCATATTTTCTGCTTCTTTGTGAAAGTATTTTGATACTTTGATATCTTGAGATATCTTTTGGGCAGCTTGGACAGTTTTAAATGTGAACTCAGTTTGGACTTTGTTGGCCTAGTTCAGTTTGCCTTGTATCCTTGGTTTAGAACTTTTGGAATTATGCAGTATGTAACTTTTGTGCATTTTCAAACTTAAATTGCAAGACATTCCATCCCTCTTTGTGAACCGGGAGAAATCCCGTGATTTGCAGAGAGGGCAAACTGATTCCGGCCAGTCGCCTTTAATGATGAACCCAAATCAACTGTTTGTCTTCTATTCATTTTATCTGCAATTGACTTTTCTTTCTTTTCTTATTTTTTTGCAGATAAAATCAAATGAAGCAGAGGGAGCAATGGATGGAAAATGAAGACTTAGGAATTAGGATAGTTTTTATTTCATTTTAAATATTTGTAAAATTATCATTGTAAATACTTTGTAAAAAAAATATTGTATTTAAATAATAATTGTAACAAATAAATTAAAGATGAATAAAATCTATTTTTTATCAGTTAATTCCTTTTCTTCTTTTCAATTGTTTATTTTATTATTTATAATTCTCAAATTATAATAATTGGAAATAAACTCTAATCATTATAACTCAGAATAATAAATAATCCATAAACGTCCGGCATCTTGAATAATCAAAACAATGCACCGTCAAATCACACATGCCCAAATGCCTTTTCTTTTTACTGATTTAATCAAACACTGCAAACTCAATCCAAACGCCTCTTTCCAAATTTCAGAGTAAACTGAAAAGAACTAAGAATTAATTCTTTCCGAGAAATATGCGCGCAAAACCCTAGTTCTTGATTAAAATGCCAAAGAAGCGTTCGCCTGATTAAAACCTGAGCCGAACTCAAACAAACCCTAGCAACCTGCTTGAACTGCTTCAAAATCAAAGAAAACCCTAATTTTGTCTGATTGATAAGAAAAGTCTGTTTGACTGAATCTCACGCCAATCTGAAAAATCAGGAAAAGCCCGAAACTGTGATTTCTTGTGGAAAAATACGAGGGCAAATTTTGGAGTACAACAAAGGGGAACGAGCACAAGCTCCAAGGATGAAATTGAAAGAGTGGTGATCAAAATGAATGAGTTGTTTAGAGAAATTGGTTTTGAAAAAGTGAATAGAGTGGTTAAGGGGGGGTGCATTTAATGAGAGTGTTGAAGAGGAATAAAAGTGGGGTGTGAAAGTAGTAAAAGATGGAATTGAGAAAGTTAGGGTTTGGTGAAGTGGAAGAGTAATGGTTGATTAATTCGGACAAGAGTTTGGGGGAATTGAGGTTGTTGATGATTAGTTGAGCGTGGATTTGTTTAATGTTGTTGTTTGTTAAGGTTTGTTTGGGAATAGAATTTAAGAGTGAAATGCATTTGAGTCTAGGAAGAGTTATTGGCAT